TTTTTTTGTACCAGGGCCTGAACTCTGGAGCACATTACCATTGAGCTGCATCCCCATTCCTTTTAACTTTTTATTTTGAGACAGGGTCTCACAAAAGTTGCTGAGGCTAACCTCAAACTTGTGATCCTCCTGCCTCGGCCTCCCAGGCACTGGGAGTACAGGGCACCACTGTGCCCAGCTCTCCTCTTCAACTCTTGATTCTAAGGTAGAAGTCCAACAAACTAGGAAAACATGAGGACCAGGGAAAGGGAGGAACAAGGGAATGGTGATACAATGTGCCCACCAAAACTTAAGGGAATAACACATCCTCAACTAGACCTGCAAAATGCTACTAAAAGCAATTATTCTTTATGACTTTATTTCAAATTAAAGGCCTTGCAAATCAAGCATTTTGTATTAGAAGAAGAAGAGGAGGAGGAGAAGGAGGAGGAGGAGGAAACAACATGCATTTATATTAGGAGACAATGAAATAGACTAACCCTCATCAACCAACCTGGGGTTATAAAGGCAGGCATCTTTGTGTGACCATGCTTGAGCAGTCATCCACACAAGTGCCTTGCAAAATGTATTATAGAGCATATCAATTCAGCCAGCACTTATTCAAAGTCCACATTGAGCTGAGTACTTTGTGCATGGACAAGGAAAAAATATGTTTTGTTCTAAGGGGGGAAAAAACAGTGCCCCACCTCCACCCACACAGCTCTACTCTAAAATACATACACTGCAACAAGTTTCCATCTTAAAAGGAGAAGTGCCTAAGATAGCTACATTAATACTGACTGCTCTTTTTACAGAGGAAATAAATATTTAGGTAATAAAAAAAAAAATTGGTTTTGAATGTTACCCTCTGCCTGTCTGTCCTTTAAAATTTTTGGTTTTGAATGTTACCGTCTACCTGTCCTTTAAAATCTGCTGTCCTTTAAAATCTTGTGTAAATTCAAATGGCTAGGTTCAATGTTTGGCTTCACCAAGTTCTAGCTGTGTGACCCTAGGAAAATCAATCCAACCATTCCGTCCCTCAATTTTCTTATCTAAAATGGAAATAATAATTGTACCTATCTATTAGAATTGAGCAGTATTCGTTGCCACTAATACTCAGTGCAGTAATAATAGTTAATCTGGATGATTGTTATTACACTACTATTTAGCCAATGCTTCCTTTAACGACCATAATCAAACTGAGGCTCCATTTGGCTTTCCTTTGTATACAAAGGAACTCAGTTCAGTTACACCAAGATAATCTTAGAGAAATTTCAAACTTTTATTTCCTAAATAATAGCAAGGGAAATTGAGCTATAATGCACAGAAACATTTCTGAAAGCCTATCTACCACCCTGCATTTCTGCAGAACCTTTAATTCATGAACCCAGTCCTAGAGTTTGTATTGCTTTCTTTGTTGAACTCTCTCCTGCCTCTCCACTCCCAAATATTTATTAGGAAATTGGCATGGCCTCTCTCTCTGCACCTCTAGCACTAGTGCTGCCTTTTCCCTACCTGGTATGTATCAGAAAACATCCCAACCAGTATCATGATCCTTAGGTGAGTGGTAAACAAGAAAAGGCAGGCAGGAAACTTGTCTCCTTTCTGGACCTTTTTCCTAAACTACCCATCTGAGTACCTGTCCTTGATTCACTGCATTTCTCATGCCCTGGGTGAGCTTATTTTTTATTGAGCTCTCAACTATCACTTCTTAACACTCTAGCTCACAAAAGAGCTTTAGCTGTATTAAAATACCTACTGTTTTTCCAGAGCACCATCTTTGTTCACAGAGCTCCATCTTCCTGGAAAACATTAGCCTCCCTCTTTAACCACTTCCTTCAGTCCCATCCTCCTGTCACATACAAACCTACACACTCTCCTCCACCTGGCTCTTCTTTCTAGACTCACATTAGACATTCTCATGTCCTCCAGAAAGGTTTCTCTGTGTTATCTTTCTATCCTTTGAGCTCCACCTGGGGCCTTAGGAATTACTTTCATTGTCCAGAGACTTAATAACTAACATTTCCATTTAACTGTTCACTTATGTTGGGCATTGTGCTAAGCAATCTTTGTATATATTAAGGTACTTTTAGTCACAAGCCTTATCAGGTAAGTTCTATTAGTATTCTCAATTTAAAGATGAAGAAATTGATTACTTAAAAGATGAAATAATTTTCCAAAATCACAAAGCTAGTGTGGCATAAATCTTCATAATATCAAAATATATAATGTAACAGTACAAGAATGAACAAAGAAAAAGAAGGACAATATATTTAAAGTAATCTGAGAATTTACTTAACAAAGTCTCCTTTCCCTAAATCTAACTGATCCCCCTACCACCAACAACTGAGGGTTAAACCCAGGGGCGCTTTGCCACTGTGCTATATTCCCTGCCCTTTTTATTTATTTTATTTTGAGGTAGAGTCTTGTTAAGTTGCCCATGCTGGCCTTTAACTTGCCTCAGGCTCCTGGGTCACTGGAACTACAGGAGTTTACCACCTCACCCAACTTTATTTGAAATTTTTATAGCATATTTTTTTTTTGTCTGTAAGAGATCTTAATGAACTGGGCACAGTGGCACATGCCTATAATCTCAACAGCTCAGAAGGCTGAGGAAGGAGGATTGTGAATTCAAAGCCTATCTCAGGAATTTATCAAGGTCTAAGCAACTTAGTGAGACCCTATCTTTAAATAAAATATAATGAAGGTCTTCGGGATATGGCTCATTGGTTGAGTGCTTCTGGGTTCAATCCTCAGTACAGGGAGAAAAAAAGTCTTAATCAAATTTTGTCATTGGTTGCATTCATCAAAATAAGTTCTAAGTGCCATGTTTGTCCAAGAAGTTATGAAAGTAGAC